GGACCAAGTGGCACAGAGGACCCCACCTTTCCACAATTATTGAAAGGAAATAACTGAGGATCAGAGAGAAACAGGACCTTGCTCAATCTTCCACCATGACTTTCTGACTCTGTTACTGGAATTTACCCAGATCACAGACAGTGACTGGGTAATACCTTGCAGAGCGAGGTCTTGGAGCTCTTTCAGCAAGTTCTGATGTCGCAGGATTGAGAGGATCCGTTCATCTGCAATGAAGGAGAGTCGTTACGGGTGGTTTCTAGACAACAGCCAAGAAAGAGATTACCATCGATATTTTCAGCTGAGCACAGAGAATACGTTTTGGAAACTCAAAACCGGAGTGGCAGCAGTGCTTTTGAAATTATCTTCTTTCCAAGGTGTCAGTCATTTTTATGCTATATCAGAAAGGCCAGCCACTGTCCCCACACCCAGACCTTAGCTAAGAGATAGCAGCCCCTGAGGTGAGGTGAGTGTCTCTCAACACACATTTCCCTATTTCCATACCTTTGCTTGTGTTGTCTGCTCCACCTGGAGTCAGTCCCCTTTCTTCATTTCTACCTGTAGAGTTCCAACTTTTCCTAAAGCCTGACTCCAGTGCTAATGTTGGATTCATCAAACAGCTGTTCAAAACTTGATTGCCTGGTTGGAAGAACTATGCCCACCCAAACGCTCCTTTATTCATCACATACCTATAGGGGCTCTACCAGCTGCCAGCAGCTGATCTTGGCACTGACGATATAGCACATAAAATGTGGACACAGTGGCTTGCTGTTCTAGCCTTGATTTCATTCTGCCAGAATTCTAGTGAAGTGTGCCCCGTCTGCGAGGCTGTGAACTGCAGGCATGCAGAGGCTCTGACCCTTTCATCTGTCTATACCACTCAGACCCCAGCACGGTAACCAGGCAGCCACTCTGCCAGTTACTGTTGAATTAAAGCACTGAATCCTATCAAAAGCCACATACCCATGTCCTAGCCTCCCAGCCCAGCAGGCAGCAGCCCCTCACCCCCCGCCTGGCCCATACCTCCTCGGAGTGTCTCGAAACACTCCTGGCTGACAGGCATGGGGCTGGGCTTGGACAGTGTGTCAGAGATGACCTCAACGATGCACTTCATCACCTGGGAAGAGAGTGGGGGCATGTTGGGGCTGGTTTGGGCATGGGGCTCAGCCCCCTGAGGCTCCAGGGCAAATTTCTAATGAGGACATAGGGCATTTGCTTTTGTCTTCAGGGTCCAGGGACAGCTGGTTCAGGGGCACAGCTCTGCTTTCTCAGCCAGACAATACTAGCAACAATAATAGAAAATGCCTATATGGTATTCACCATGTGTGAGGTGCCCCAGTCAGCATGTGCCAGCAAGTGCTCCTTTAAGGTGGGTCATGGTGCAGGTGAGTACCTGGTACCTTCTCATCCCCAAGTCTTTCTCTAAAGATGAGGATGCTGCTCCTGGACATCAGAAGTAGGTCTCAAAAAAGTATTTCAGTCTTTCAGATGTCCAAAAGTTCAGCTATCTCCCGGAATCCCTTCTGGATTGCCCAGAGAGCAAACACCTTCCTTGGCTCTGCACATGCAGGGAGTAATAGCTGCGTGGTCTGGCTCCATTGTCCCTCACACGATGAATACCCTAGCTGCATGTGGGCACACATCAGCTACCTCTGGGTGCCCATCTCGGGTCAATAGCAGCCATCTCTCTGACGGTCTTGTCCAGTGTCCAGCAAGGTGCTGTGCCTCATCAGGCACCTGATAAATGGATGATGTGTGAGGATGCTGCCAACTGCAGTGTGGTATCTTAGCTGTGTGGTCATGGGCATGTGACTTGACCTCTCTGAGCCTGTTTCCTCACTTGTAACATGGGAGTGAGAAGGCCTTCCCACCTCCCCTCCCAGCATAAGGCACAGACAGAAAAACACTATAAAACGTAAAGTGCCACACACACCCAGAGAGGGACTCACAACTCCCAACCTGCCTCAGCTGCCTAGAGCTGGTGGGGGAGCGGGAGGTGTCAGACAGGCATCAGGCCACACTCGTGGGGAGTGAGGGGGTAGAAGGCTGTCTCTATGGGATGCCAAGGCAACCGGTCCAAGGATCCAGGATAGAAAACTGGCAAACAGGCTCCGCAGTAGTCACGGCATCCTAGGATGGAACATTTGGGTCTTAACCAGCTGCTCTAGTGCCTCTAACCCCAGACTTTTGGGTATAATATGGTGACAGAAGTGTCTTCCATAAGGGGTCTGGCAAGGAGCCCTACAGCCTGTATCCTGTGTATCTCCCTGTAACCCCAGATCTTGCACTGGGCATAGCAGATAATCACCAGTCCATGAGGACAGATTCAAGGAAAGAGGAATTGGGTCGAGGTCCCAAGAATAATAGGGAGATGCAGAAAGGAAGCTCTAGGAATAACAGTGCCCATTTGCTGAGGACCTACTATGTGCCAGGCACCTCACGTCTGGTTCCTACCCCCTCACAACTCCCCTCAAGGGGAATATCATTACAGATGGGCAGAAGGGAAGCTCAGAGAAGTTAAGGAATTGTCCCAAGACCACACAGCTACAATGATGAGTGGTGGAGGTTTAAATATAATGAAGAGTAGGAAATATAATTGAGCAAATTGAAGTTGAAATCACTGATGCTTTGGGTTTTAACCATAGCCTCTCTGGAATGAAAGAAAATAGCTCCTGGAAAGGTGAGGACTTCCATGTGGAGGGAATCTGTGAGCAACAGAGACTAGAAAAATGGCTCAGACGTGAATGGATTCCAAGTATACACCTGACATAGAGTGTCTCTTGTGGGCTACAGAATCCCCCACCACCAGCGTCTCTTAAGGCCCTTTACTGGGTGACATCCACCATCAGCCTCAACTGGCCTGAACCCTGAGTGCGGAAGCCATGATCGAGAATGCTTTCACTGTGGCCCCTTGGGACAGCCAGGGTTTGAATGCCTGTGGGGTAGGGGTGCTTGTGGCAGAGCCTCTTGGGGAGGAGAAGAGCCAAGGGAGAGGCCAGAGCCAGGCAGGCTAGGACTTTTCTCGCAGTTCTGTGGACAGCCACATCCACACAGGGTCACCCCCGGCAGCTTACAGTGGGCCTTCCAGATTCGGAGTGCTCGAGACAGTGGACCTGGTACCTTGGCCCAGCAGGTAAGACACAGGCTCTGCTCGGCTTCACACACAACTCAGAGGAAGCTGGGGAAGTCCCCGCAGCAGGATGGCAGGGAAATCAAGCAGCCTTTGATATCTTCTTTTGCAAGCTGTCCCCAGGCTCAGCAGCCGCAGTGCTAGCTCTTGGCTTTACGCCAAACTCCTCCTGCAGCTGCCCAAGAACTGGCTGTGAGCTGTCCCCTGGGGCCTCCTACCCACCAGCCCGGGGCACTGCCCCCCACCTTCTTACCTCAGTGTCCCCTTTATTCATAGGGCTGTTCACAGGGAGGGCAATGACTGGTAAGAAAAAGAGAGAGCTGCGGTCACTCCTCTGCACTGAGGGGAGAGCCTAGTCTCCTGGCCCGGCCCACTCGGGTCCCACTCACCCCAGTGCTCCCCCTCAAAACTGTCCCCACCCAATGACATGCTGGGGCTGATCTTGTTCCCCTGCCTCCAAGTGGGGTGGCTCCCAGTGGCTGCACTCAGAGCCTCAGCCCTTCCTTTTGGGAAAGCTCCCACTCTGGAGGGGGTGTGGGAGCCGAGGGCAAGAGTCATAGGGCGCAGGAAGGTGCAAGGAGAGGGAGTGCGCCCCCGAGGTGAGGGAAAAGAGAGAGAGGAGGACCGAGAGACAGGAAAAGAGAGGAGCAAAGGCAGAAGGCAGAAGGCGAGGGAGAGAAGGAACATGGAGGGGGAGAGAGGCGAAGGGGGAGCCAGCAGCCCTCCCGTCTCCCCCAGTGACCTTGGCCAGCCACAGCAAGGAGCGGTGGCTGTCTTGTGGCAGCCGAGACTCCAAGCCTAAACATGGGATAGGGGCGCTAGGGGGCCCTGCCCCGCGGGGTCGGCTAGGGCGGAAAGAGTCGGGTCCGTAGCCGCTTGGCTGAGTCAGGAGGGAGGCGGTGGCGCTGTCCGCGGTGCTGAAACAAATCGCCTCTCGGGAAGGGAGGTGTCGAGGGGCGCGGGACGCTGCGTGGTGCCTGGACCTCAGGGCAGGCAGGGCAAGAGCAGGCAGGGCGGGAGGGGGCGCCCAGGGCCCTTTCCCACGGGACCCGCACCAGCTCACCTTGCCCCGCGCAGAGCAGAAGCGCCAGGACACCGGCGCGGCGCATGGCGAACCGGGGCGCCGAGCAACACCGAGACGAGTGGTGGCTGAACCGGCGGCCTGGGGGCGGGCGGCGGAGCTGGAGCGGGGCCGGGGGGCGCAGCGTTCCTGCGTGTGCGTCCGTCTGTTGGTCCGCCCACTAGCCTCCCCGCACCGGGACCGGCTACCGCAGAAGCAGCAGCAGCGACAGCGGCAGGGCCGGCCGCGCGCCCTGCTTATATACCCCGAGCCCGGAAATGACGTCATTGGGACCGCCCCTGCCCCTTCCCCCTCCTCTAGGTGTCCAGGGGCAGGTCGATCCACCACCCCCGCGATCACACCTTCTTACCTCTGGCCCCCGCCTCTCACGGTTAATGGGCCAAGTCGCGAGGTCAGCAACTGGTTTCCAGAGGGTGGCACAGGGGTCTCAGCTGACCCTGCACCCCTTCACAGCTCT